AGAGAAAATTCAGGGCTGCAATTGAGAAGCTCAAAAATATAGTTGCGTATTTCAAAATAATCTCCCTCTGAATTTTCTATCTTTGCCATTTTAGATATTTCTCCAAGATTTTAAAATACTGAATTTTAGCTTAATATTAAATGTCTGAAGAAACATTTTCATTTAGAGCAAAAATTTATACTTTCTATAATAAATGCTTATCTTTGGAGAATGAATCACTTTCACTTTTCTCACATCCCATGATTAAGAAGCCTTTCTGAAATCATAAAACGTGAGATTTATGGATCCTTACTCCCTAGAAAACTACACATCCCATGATTAAGAAGCCTTTCTGAAATCATGAAACACGTGAGATTTATGGATCCTTACCTCCCTAGAAAACTATTTCCTTCACAAGTTAGAAAACAGAATTTCTCACTTAAATTAACATTCACTTTTGTACGACAGTAGCATTTAAACAAGGTCATTTGGTGGTACTGAAATTCTGACGCAGCCCTGTACCGAGCCACACACAAACTGCCAAGCAGACTAATACTCAACAAGTAGGCATTTCTCATTTGGATCCACCGCTTCGCAAGACACTTGAAGCCCAACATCGTTTCAAAGTAGTCATTTAAAACCGGCGTGCAAAATCATAACCTCAGCGTCAGCCTGGAGGGGAGTCTTAATTTCCCTCGGCTGCTTACACAGCAGTCACAGCAGCCTTTTCTATCAACTATCTGTCATGGAAGTGACCCAAAACAGAAGAGGAGCCACTGTAATTACTACCATTGAAGTGGTTATCACCTGTGCTATCTTCTCCAAAAGAGAACCGTCAGGTCACTCTAAGCTCAATAGTTATGTAGAGAGGAAAAAAAAAAAAGAAGTATATTAATAGAAACAACACCACCACCCCACCACCACCCCCAACTACGGTCCATAAGGCAAAGAAATTTGTGTGGAATTATTTTTTTTTTTAACCTGACAGTTTCTTTTAAAAGAACCCAATTGAAGATATTTATACGAAATACAATGCAGGCAAGGGATACGCTGACAAGCGTCAACAGGAAATCCTACAGCAACAATAGTCTTCTCATCATGGATTTTCTCCTACAAAGTTTTTTCAGATACATGATTCAAGGAAAACATAGCACAAGACCGCTTTTCGTTCTGCTTGGGCCATAAAGCTACAAGAAATGCTTAGCCAACATGCTCAGTTTGCATTTCCAGCGCAAGTGCTAACGCATATGAGACAGTTTTCAAAACCTATGCGTGTTTGTAGATGTCTGACTGCAAGGAAACAATTCTAGGAGCCATACATCTGAAAACAAGCTACATTCAAAAAGCACTATCTTGATGACAGGAAGAATAAAAAAATAAATTCTTAATGGAAAAATATTAGCTTGAAGTCCCTCGTTTATCCCTTATACAATGTTTTTGGCTGCTTTCAGTAAGTAATCAAAAAATAATGAAAATATTTGGCTTGGCAACAAGTTATCCCTTCCCTTTCAGAATAGTACAAATCCAGCTACATAAATCTTTTCTCAGCATCCCAGTCTCATACTCTGGTGTGAGGACCAAGGGTTCCTTGAAGTAGCAAGGAAGTAATTTTGGGAGCCTGCAATTCAAACTGAGGGAACGCAAGAAGAGCAGGCTTGAGGACAGTGTCAACACAAGGCTTTGAGAAGCTTAAAACACACACGTGCAGGCATGGTTCAAACACGGCTTGGCAGCACGAGCCGGGCAAAACTAATTTAACACACAATATCACAGCCCAGACCCAGTCAGGAAGAAAGTTGGGCTAAAAAGCGTACATCATGACTGAGTGCCTCTTTAGTTCAGCCATAGTTTGGATTTTGTTATCCAGCAACATCTCCTGATAATGAACCAGTTGAGACCCACAAATTGTACTACTCAACTGGATTTACACCCTCCATAGTGAGATTCAGATTCTCCAAAACATCTTAAATGATACAGCAAGGACTATTTACACAATGTCACCCTCGCTCCCCCCCACACCCCAGGTGCTCTGCCGTATGTAATACTCTCTCTTACAATATGGGTTATTCCTCGTGAAACACCCCCTGTGTAACTGGGTGGATCAATGCTCTGGTTTTCAGCAGAAACACTGTGGAGGTTTTGGAATAGCAGTTCACAGGCCATTCGTTTCAGTAACGGTGTTTGTCTCTAAGCTTAGACACTGATGATGAAAGAGTCAAGACCGTAACCCTCTTCAACTAAATATGCTGTCAGATTTATATAAAATATTCTCAATGTCTTCCCGTCCTTATGGAAAAGGGGAGCTTCCTGAAACACCCGAGTAGTTTTTTCAGGGAAATCTTTGCTTTCTCTCTGTCGCTCCGACACTCTCTGTCACTCTGTCCCTACGATGCTCACCAACAGCAGATGCCCAAGGAAACTCAAATTACTGTCTCAAAGATTGCAACATCTTATACAAACCAATTTACCATACGTAAATGGTTTACTATCATATTCTGATTTCTTCACTCTTAACAGTGTAGTCCAAAACAATTTCCACTAAACAGCCACAAATTTCAGAAAGTTTTTAAATGCTATAAGCAGCATCATGTTTTCACATTAATTAATTCCATTAATTTTATCAGCTCACACATTAGAAAGCTGAAAGACATAGATAGCAAGTCACAAATTACCTGGAACCACCATTCACATCTCGTTTGTATGAGAAAGTACTGGAGGAGTGCTTTTTACAGAATGGGATATTTAATGTGAAACGGAGTCATACAGATGACACTGTAGGAAATATATATTAAACATGTAGATTATGACTGAAGAAAAAAAAAAAAGAAAAATGAGAAACAAGCCTAAAATTCTACTCTGCTTCCCAAATTTTGTGTCTTTGGTTCAATACTAACAGTCATCATGTGACAAAGTCTTAGCCCTACAATTTGGTTTTTAAATAAATGTTTACCTGGAAGCAAGAGTCGTCCCAGTACAGTGTCTGAGGAACTTGTCTTCGCACAACTGGGTCCCCAACATGAAGACTACGTTTAACAGAAGAGTAAGTTCTGTTCTTAGCATTTCATTAATTAGCCATTACAAATCTCCTGCCAGCTCCTCACCTAAAGTGACACAGATCTGCAGTTTGAACCATCTCCACCTTTGACACAAGAGTGCGTAATTTGGAATCTGGATACATACTAAGTTTTATCCTTCATATAACTTGCAGCCAATGGACAAATGAACAACTCTGAAGAATCGTTATGGGAAAGCCTAACTAAACTTGTTACTCCTAACATTTTAAAGGTTTCTTTTGTGATACCATCAGGCTAAACGCCACACTGCTCCCCAGCCCAGTTCTGCCGAGATGACACCAGTCACACAGAGGGCACATCGGTTCCGGCCATTTAACCTACTGTCCATCCCCTACAGAGCTCAGTAATTGGTCTCCCTGCTTCCCTCGCTGTTCATAAGCACAGAGTCCAAAGCACCACTACCTACAGATCTTCAAAGCAAAAATACAAATAATCTCATTTGCAGATACCCCCACCCTGCAGAAATTACTTGTGTTAAGACTGCAAACCTGATGCCTCAGCAAAGGGGACTCCAAGGAGAACGCTGCCACCGGCTCTTGCTGCACAGGGAGAACCGCAGTGGCTGCATTTTCTGCCCTAACTCACCCCACATGACTAGGTTTTACTGGGTTTACTAGGTATCTCACACAGGTGTCAAGTGGGCTCCCTAGGACAGCCTGCAAAGACACTGCCAAACCACAGCCTGCAAATGCTTCCAAATACACATCTTGAAAGGCATCAAAAAACCCTCCCAACTTGCTTATCTGATGGTTATGCCCGTTTTTTAAATTTTTTTTGTTTCCCTTGGGATGGACTAACGCTTCTGCCAGTCAAACACTGCTCAAATGACACATCAGTTTATGGAAATTGCTGCCCCCCAAAATTACATTGTTAAAGCATGAGGAAGGAGGTGGGGAAAGGGGACACATCTCTGATCGAACAGGTGCACTGGGAAACGTGGTGTAACTACGTCCTTCATCTCTTACACAATTATTCAAAAGGACAAGTTTCTGCTTACTTTTAAATTCACAACAGCAAAGTGGTGCTGTATGACCTAATCACAAAGCTGTATGGTGGACATCACACACTTACTCAAACACATTACATAGGGGACTGCTTTAACGTAACATTATTTGAAATCACACGGCCTAAAAAATAACCTACGGTGGGTGGCGTATAGTTATACAGGCTTCTTGCTAAAGAACATATTTTATAAAAATAAAGATGAATGACATCCCAAAATGTTCATCAGGTGATTTTCTTACAAGTAATAAAATCTTTTACTTGGTACATCAAAAGTTCTCTCTTTGAGGCACAACAAAAAATGCAAACACTAGGCTTCTGTAAGAGGGAAGAAAATGTTTTCCACAATATAATTATATCTAGAGTTTCTTCCATGGCTATTCTAAATCATTTTGCGCAAGTGTTTTGGTAACTGAATCAAATATTTTAACAGAAACAGCACAGTGAAGTAAATTAGAAAAAAAATGAGAGTATTTAAAACTAGCAGACTGATTTTCAACACATGGAAGGACTGAAAATTCTCCCATTAAATTAGTAAAACCAAAATCAGTAGCATGGACTAACATACACAAAAAATGTTATGAGTTAACCACTGAAAAATGTGCCATGTAAATTAGGTATGGGGAAAATAGTAATGGTAAAATGCCATATATTGATGTTGCACGAAAATGCTTCTTTGCAAGAATACGCCTTAGGTCCAGTTTTGTTTACATCTTCAACAGATGTATGTATCACATTAAAGTTACCAATTCCATTGAACCAGGAAGAACTGCACATAAAAGGGAAAAAAATAAAAATAATTTAGTGCCCTCAGAAGTTCAAAACTTATAAAACCCAGGATAATCATGAAACAGGAATTAAGTATCTAGCTGCAAAAGAATCATAACAACATACTGAAAGCGAAGAAGAAACTTGAGAAACGGCAATGCTCAAAGTTATTTAAAACAGTTGTCAGAAATAAAGAAACACAATTTGGACTTGTGAGACACTAGCCAGAAGACCAAACATTTGGTCTTCCTACACAAAAGCATCGCATTACAGAGGTAAAAAACCAACCAAACAAAAACCACACTTAACAGATGACCTTCAGAGTCAGTCCAACAAATCATGCATGTGGAATGGTGGTGGGGGCATCAAGGTATGGAGAACTGAGCTGAAAAGCTGAAAACAAGAAAAAGTTGTGTAAAAAGAGCAGACTAAAATATAGGTTGAAGGAATTGGAAAGGAATGGAAATACACAGCTAGAACCAGTGCGTGCATGCAGGTTCCAAATCACAAAGACAGCGAGGAAAATGTAAAATGGCACAAAACATGGCTTGGAATACTGGCATGAAGTTACAAAAAAGAACTACTAAACACCACATAAATCCTCGTGTCAGTGAGACGCAATCATTGAAATAATCTTCGAAAGGAAGCCTAATAGTTTAGAACATAGATAAAACCTCACTGGCCAAGACAATATTAAACCGCACAGGTCTACAACCCTGCTTTAGCAAGCAGATGGACTAGATAACCTAAATAATTTTGTCACCCGTAACTCCTACGATGATGTTCAGAAGATCTGACGGGCTCATGCACAATACCCTGCAGTCCTACAAGTATGTGAGCAAGTACAGTAAAAAGACATTGACATCAATTATGAAGACCAGCACAAAAATAGATATACTCCACAACCTCTTTGTAAGGCTACATTTGTTTTGTTTTTTAAAGGCACCTCATCCTCTAGCTATTGCCAGCTTTAAAAGAAAAAAAAAAAAAAAAAAAAAATCACTTTTCAGTTTGAGCAAGAGCTCAACAGCGAGAAGGAAACATCTTTCAATTCACATTTGAACAGCCACTTCTTACATTCCAATTGTAATCAGAATGACAGTCTTTAAAAACAAGCATGCTGGCCTATTAGTTTATGTACAGCAATTTAAACAACTGTAACTACATATTGTATTGTGTAAGCAAAAGCACAACATTCATTTCGTACTCACACCATTATCCTTTGTATACATAAACTCAAGAGAACTCTTAATACTAAAACATTAAAATGCACCCATGGAGTCTTCCCTTACTAGACACATTTAATACATGTTTACAATATATATACACATATATAATATACATAACTTTTAGAATTTTCAAATAAATCTTTGTAATTTCCTCTTCAAAAAGAAATAAAATAATGACACTGAAAGAATATGAGTCAAGTACACAGAACTCTCACAAAATCGAATGCTCAGTTTTGCAGCCAAGTTCCCCCCTTTCCATCATAACCAAAACACTTTATAAAAACTAAATAATCTGAATTACTATTGTAGTCATCTGTCTCATGGTAAAAGTTCTAATCTTATCTATGGAAATATATTGCATATCAATATAACGAAGTGACATATCTGAATATTCTGAGCAATAAAAGGTATTCCAGGATATTTTAGCAGTAAATATAATGTGTTGCAGGCTCAAACAGCATAGGTCAACCTTTTATTCTAAATCATATAGTTGATTTAAACTCTGAGATCAGCTTCAAATGTGGTCCCATCCCCAAATGCCACTCTAAAACCAACACAGTCAAACCCTATGTTGATATTTTTCAATGATTCCTTTTTAAAAAGTGTCAGTTTAAAGGTAAATATTTATTTATCAGTTTCCAGTCTTAACCTCAGGCTGGTACGTGGAAGAATTGCACTGGGTTCTTTCCTACTCACATCAGCACCAGAAATCATCTCCAGCAGAAATTCTGCCTTCCATTCCCATTAGAGGAAAACGCCAATTTCAGGTTTATGAGCAGTAATAACTGATGATGACACGTAACAGAAAAGAATCCACTCACCTTCCTTTAAGAAGGGATAAAAAGACTAAAAGATCTGATTAAAAGTTGTTTGTCATTCAAATCAACAGAGAAGCTCTCAACAGATAAACAAAGCACATCTGTTGAGTAATTACAAGAAGCACTCATTCTTCAGGTAACCTCATCAATGGCACGATACGCCCAGTGAAGGAGACAAGTTCCACAAATGGTGAAAGTGGGAAATACCTCTAGAAGTAGCAGAATCTCTGAAACTGATGGAACTTTGCATAGTTCCCACCTACTGAGCTAGCAGGACTCATACAAAGCATCAAGTATAGGTCTAATCTTCAAAAGAAGTATTTCACTGTTACCCTTAATGCCCAGAATTATACCCTTTTTGGCAGGAACAGAAAGAGGAGATGAATATTGGGTAGTTAAATTGTTGGACAGCTTCTTTGGAAAGCTTTGTGATAACTTCTTGTGCCAGATCTCCAAGAATAAACAGCATTATAAATCTGAATAAGTTAAATCTGCTACTACAGTATATACAGACTGCTTCAGTCTGTTGTTAATTGGGACTAGACTAAAGGCTCAGCTTGTAGCCACACGCTAATACAGTCTTTAAAAAAATTAGATAAATTTTTTTGCAAACTAAATATTTACTGTGTAACACAGAAGATGTAACAAAAACTTTACTGCATTTTAATTTATGTTAGTAATTTGCTTTCCTTTAACTGCATTTATCTTAGGCTAGCAGCCAGGTGGCTGAAATTAACTATCCGCTACTGCTCTCTGAACAAGATCTACTTTATTAATACCAAAGGGATGACAAAGTGCCTCTCACACGACACAGTAACGAGCACGTGAACTGACACTTTTTCCAGGTGATTTAATTTTAAGTACATTACGATTCCTCAATGAAAAGCATCCTAGGAAGTTTCCCTCGTTTCCTACTCCCTGATGCAATTAGACCCCTTCTTTCCAGTACTCCCATTTTATTAATAGAGAATACATAGACCTAGTTTCACCCAAGGCCTGCCTGGACGAAAATTCACACCCTCTGAAATAAAAGCATTTCTTTTGTTTTTTAATTATTTGAAACTGAGAGTTTCCAAGCTCTCAGCACCAGCTGAGCTCACAGAAACCAGAACAAACACCAATTTAGAAAACAGCACCCTGCAAAACTAAACACTTACAAACATTCTCTGAATTACAGGGCAGGATAAGAAGACTCATGCCCTCCTCTTCTCTTTTGTGCAGCTGGTTAAATATATACAAAGCTAGAGTTGAAAGGGAAGCACTCTGTCATACAAACACTTTAGCCAGGGCATCTGCTCCTGCACTGGCAATATAACATTTGGAGGGGTGGAATGCCACATCATGAATGGACTCATCAAATTTTTTGCGATGAGCAGTGAATTCTTGGATGCAGGTCTTGCTTTCAAGATTCCACAAGCGAATCGAACAGTCATGACCTAAAGAAAGCGGAAACAGTTTTCTCTGTAATTCTCATGTCTACCACCATTATGAGAAAAAGAAAATGAAATCTGAATGTACTTACTGCCAGACATCAAATACAAGCCGTTGGGATCAACAGCTAAACTTGTAACTGCATCTAAGTGAGCTACCATGGAGTGGATCAGTTTTCCTTTGAAAGAAAAGATTTATCTAGGTTATTTTCTGCAATCACTTTGTTACCTGTATTCACTGCTTAAACCCTACCACAGCTCTTATTATAAATACAAGATTTTGTCCCATGACTGAATCATTAAAACTACACAAGAAGTCAATGTTTACAGTCTCAGGAGAGCCACAGTACCAATATCACCAACATTGTTAGACCTTTGGTTTTATGGATGCAAAACCACCGTGAAGCTGCAATCACTGTGCATTTTAAGTATCTGCCCCTTAAATGAATTAAGCAAGTTCAGGGGTAAGATCTTGACTGAGAAGGAGGACGGGGGCTGAGTATACTAATAAGCAATGAATATAAACTATATAAGAATATGGGATAATTTTAGTCAACTCGGAGAGAATTAATGCTCTATTACAGCTTATTATAATTACAGTAATGATTTCGTGTTAAAAATAAGAAATCATGGGTCAAAGGTGGTTTTTTTTTTTTATAAAACGAAAGAAAAATGAGCGGCTGTTTCCTCTACTATTTGTTACAGAACTACATCAAGCTATCTTCAGCTTTTTCCTCAGCTTCCATCGCATCCTTTCACCTCTTATTTAACATGCATCTGGGGGGTACCAAACTTAAAATCAACAGGAATACTGAAAGATCTCAATTTAACTTTTAAGACAGTGTGACCCTGAAGCAGAGAAGTCACAAACTAAAGATTATTGAAATTCACAGTCAGAATATCAGATTAATTCTACCATTCCTATCAAAAAGCCCTTTAAAATATAATTACACATCTCAGCGAGACTCTTGCTACACATCAGAATAAGAATTACAAGCTGTCCAGCTGTTTTTATGGAAGTGAGAGATTTGGAGAAACCCAGTGGATCAAATTGAGAATGATGCCTAAAAGGGAAATTCTACCTCCAAGCCATGAAGCTGAGGTCTTGGAAGCACTAAAAGAATGCCAGAGCTTCCTGCCCTCAGATCAAAATAACACAGACAACGCAACAGAATAAAGATGTATGCACCTGAACATTTTAAAAATGCTTCCTTTTATGTTAAATGTTGATAACCCCCATACATAAAGCATTTTAGAAGAACGTACAGAGAATGATGCAGGTTTCTCATCACTGTGTCAATACAGTTTCAACCCGCGTGACAATCTTTGGGCTCTACTGGTGATGAGAGATTTCTGTTTCAGAGGACATACTATTCTTAACATCCCTCGGCATTTACGTGAGTAATACTAATCAGAATGAAATTCTGTTTATGTTTTATGTTATACAACTGCTATGATTAGGACCTGCTGAAAAGATGCATACCTGTATTGTTGTCATAGAATTTGATGTGTCTGTCTTCGTGAGCAGTTATACTAATTGGAAGAGTTGGATGGCTGATGACTCTGTTTATCTGACAGGAGGAACTGACTGCTAAGAAAAAAGCCACACGTATCAATACATGTAAATTGCTTTGAATACATGTAAAGTTCTTTGACAGACTACTACGAAGAAATAAATATGTAATCAATTGTATCTGCAAAATAATTCTTACTTTTATATAATGGAAACTCAGCTAGCACCTTATGTAGTGTGGTTTACTTGAAAATACTTTCCAAATTACACACACACACAGAGGCATACATAAACCATACCTATGAGTGTAAATACAAGCACATAAGGTCCAGCTTTTGGCCATGGTTTTAGATGGGCGCATCAGGCAAGAATGTGAAGCCAAAAACTGGGTGAAAATACCTTTTTTGCACTTCCCCACCTCCACACTCCTCCTCTGATCAAGCCAAACTTTCTTCATAACAAAGAGACAGTATAGGAAAATTAACATTGCAGGCAGTATATTTCCAAGCAAACAGGATCCTGTACCCTCAACCTTACAGAGCAAAACCCACCTACTATTATTTTGATACACATAGATTAAAATTCTTATTGAAAAGTATGCTGGACTATTCACAGGAGAGCTATTTTCCTGGCCTTGAAGAATCATGAAATATCATACATATGCACAAAAAAAGAATAGGAGTTTTTTATCTAGAAATCTAGGCATTGCTGTGATGAACAGACTAGTGCAAGAGTGGTCTTAAGAAGCATAGATTACCACAAAAACACAACTAACCACTGCACAGAACATCAAAATACAGTTTTCTTCTTTCATGTGGGAGTTGACTGGTTTTAGTTAAAACTGCTGCCAAAAACCACTCCCATCATCAAATCAAAATTCTTACTAAAATAAACAAAATGTAATACTACTGTAAGATCACTTGCTACCAAGGTGGTAAAGACTTCGATTTACATCTTTCTATAAAAATTTGGACCCTCAAGTAGTGTCAGCATCCACAGGACACTTAAAAAATAATGAAAGTGTAAGTTAAGGAAAAACATGTCCATATTAATAAACCTCCCATAAAAGTATAAAAAACATATGAGATTGCATCACAGCCAGCTATCCTCAGAGTTTCAAAATGCCAAGCAGAGCGAGGCTTATACTGAACAGCGGAGTCCCTAAGTGGTGGCAGTAGGGCATTTCAGGTGATTCATTTTCCTCTTGCCTAGTTCTTGTAGAAATAATTATGTATTCTTTTTTAAATATACGTAAGCTTTATAGTACTGTTACATAACTAAAAATACTAAACAGGGAACTGCTGGTTGCCTTACTGCAGCCTCATTTTCTTAAAGGAATATTACTGAATTACAGTAAGGAGGTGGCAAAAAAAATAGAAGGAAAAAAAGAAGAAAGGTAATGTCCACTGAATAGATAACTGATATAAGACTATTTTTTCAGACGGGAACAAAGATGTGGGTTAAAAAAAGAAATCCTGCACAGCAAAGAATAATACAAAGAAGGGAGATGGCACTTTCCATTCCCTCTCATAAAACAAACAAGAAAAGCCATCAAAAAAAGGGCTTACTCCCTTTTAAAAATATAATTATACAGCAGAATTCACTGACATAAAACTTTCAGTAGAAAAAGCTGTAAAATTTTAAAACAGACTGAACGTTTATATTGCTATCATGTTACCCTTTTGGCCTGAATATGAATCCTCATGCTTCAGCTCATTGTGGTCTCTTTCTAATGCTGCGGTAAAACAATAAACTGATATCAGTCAGGCTCCTTACAGTTTCCTCTAAAACTTCTGACAGTGGCCACTGCCAGGATCGAAGGCATTGTGTCGGACCTTGTGAATACTCTTCCACTGGAGCTTTGCTTTTTTCCTACAGTGAAAACTTTAACTAAAGCCCAATTGCCAATGAGCCAAAAGCGTACATAAAACTTAGAAAAGGGATACCTCTGAGAAAAAATAAGAAGGAACACACACACTCCCAAATTTTTAATAAATTCAACTTTTGATTTGCCTGATGTTACCTCTATCTTGCAATTTTGGACTGAAGGGAGAATAGAAATCTTGAAGCTGCAAAGGTCACTGGGTTCTATTAAAGAAACCCGCGGGTTTTTTTGTGCTACTCTTCCCCAAAGAGGAATTCAGATAGTGTGGGCTTGTTTCTACCTTCTTTCAAAAGTATGTGCACTTTTCTGCTACTGAAATACCCACGATGTCTGTTATAGTAACGATAATTCACTGTTACATCTCAAAACACAGCTTGTAACATAATTCATGTTATAATTTATCATGACACTGACTAACTGCTTGGAAACACTGAAAAGACTATCAACAGTATGGATCTTAAACAAGCAATTTCTTTGGGGTGGTTTTGTTTTGGGTTTTTTTTGATACGTACTAGTATCTGCACTGGACTCCAGGGTAAGAATTCGTTGCCGTGTCTCCATGTTAAAAATGCTAGTGTGTCCACTGTTAAACGATGCTACCATGAGGCTTGGGTCACTGCTCACAAGATCTACTGATGAAGGGATTCCCATTTCTAGAAAAAAATTTAGAGAACATTTTCATAAGATTTAGTTGGTGCAAAGAAAACAAAAAAACAAACACCCCAAACAGTAAGCACTTTAGTATCAAAAGGGTCATGACTGTGATAGGAAATGTTACATTTTAAAACCTACGTTACACCAATCTAAATAGATTGCCCTGCATGATCACTATTTTAATCCTATTTTTCTGATGTGTATATCAACAACATTCTTTACTAAGACACTGTATCCAGAACTGCAGCTTTGAAAAAGAAATCTACTTTGAAATTAAGAAAGTAAGAACTCCCTGCCCCCTTTTCCTTCATTTAATTGTAAGAGCAATTCTCAAACATCCATTGCATCAAGTAAAAGGACATAAAATTGAAGTGGTAAAATCATTTACATGATAGATGACTAATGTTATTATTAATTTAGGCAAATTCAAAGCTTAAAAAACCCCCAAAGCTTTCCTGCAAATGTTATATGCTGACATTGTCAGCATGGAAAGTTACATAAATGCTTTATAAACTCCTATTACAAAAGCTTCTTCCATCCTGCCTATTATGGTATACGTGCAATCTCCTTACACTGTAGCCATCTGAACACTGCAGGACAGAGGGCCAAATCAGCAGAGCTTGGGTACAGGAAATACTCCTTAGAATTTTTCTCCTTGAATGTCCTGTTCACCACCCACTATGTGAAAGAACAACACTGGCTGCAACAGATGCCAGGAGGAGGAAGAGGTAGAGAGTGAGACACTGAATGTTAAGCAACCTAATGTCCATGGACCCAAATAACGCAGAAATACCACCACCTCTCTCCAAACCTAAGATCCATGGGAGAAACATCTTTCTTGGACACACGACCTCAGGAATGTTGCTCAGGAATCGTGGTACTGATCTACAGATACTCAAAAAACAAGCCAGAAAGGCTTGGTGCAAGAAGAAAACATAAATTGTTTCTGAAGTGACCTTTTCCACCACTGCCATGTCTGCTTATCTGCAGCTTCCTGATAAGCCTGCAATGGTTAATCTAAAGGATTTAAATGATGACTGCTAGATATTTTAGAGAGTTTGTTCAAGGTTCTCAATAAGCCATAGAAAAATCCGTTTCAAAGGAGGATCTTTGAATTTCACCAGTGGGTTTCATCCCAGTTTGGAACATAAAAACCCCAAAGATTAGCTCTGTGAGGCAAGACAACTCCCACTTCCCCCTTAATTTAATAATGAAAAACCAAACCAAAACAAAAAAAACCCCAACACACAAATAAAAAAACCACTGCCGGGAAGTTTTCAAAGTAGACTGGTAGACAAGCTGGCAGAGAGCCAATTATATTTTTCACAGAACCCTGCAGACCTTTGGAAACATAGTTCTGCCGGACAAAAATATGTGAAGCATTTCTATTTTGCTCAGCCTATTTTAACTAACAAGTAATGACAGATCTGACCAGCTCTACATTATAATTTGGTAAGTCTGTTCAGTGGCGTTCCCCGGGGGTCGGTATTGGGACCAGCGCCATTTCCATTTTCACCAGCAATGTGGACAGTGGGATTGAGTGCATCCTCAGTAAGCTTGATGGAGAGGGACTTCTTACAAGGACATGCAGTGATAGGACAAGGGGTAATGGCTTTAAACAGAAAGAGCATTAGATTTAGGTTAGATATAAAGAAGAAATTCTTCACTGTGAGGCACTGGAACAGGTTGCCCAGAGTGCCGGATGCCCCATTCCCGGAAGTGTTCAAGGCCAGGCTGGATAGGGCTTTGAACAACCTAGTCTATGTGGAAGGTGTCCCTGCCTATGGCAGGTGGGTTGAAACTAGGTGATCTTTAAGGTGCTTTCCAACCCACACCATTCTATGATTGTGCCAAAGTGCCTCAGTGTTGTTCTGAAGAGCCAAGGAATTGTCTCAGTTCATGGGTTGCCTTTAGGACCATCAGCTCTAAAAGAGTGTGGCAATGTCAACAGGCTCATTCTAGAGCACTTGGACAGCAACTTCAAGAAAATACGCTCTAAAGAATAGGATTTTGATTTGTGCATGACATTTTAGTAACTAAATCCAAAGGACTAAATTTTTTCAATTAGCAGTGTTTAGGACGACTAGGTTAGTTTTATTTAGTTAATGCACAAACTCAGAAATTCAACTGAAATCTCTGTGTTAGAGACACAAGGAATATAACCTGAGAAGGTACAATGACACTGGCCTGAGCTGAAGCACTGGCTACTCCAAACCTCTGTTGGGGGAAGAAAGGGCTTTTTATTCCGGGCAAGCCAAAAGCAAAGGCCTAATGGAAACTCATCTTGAATCTGAACTATGGAGTTGATACATTATACTTCATGGTTCTAGTAATATCAGCAGACCATCTACCACAGTTGGCTTTTAGGTATGTGTGTCCATGCCCCTGTGTGTAGGTATCTATTCAGCTGTTGTCAAAGGACAAGGGACTCAAAATTTACTCTTCCCAAAAACATTCATAAAGATATAAAATCCAGCAAAACAAACAAGAAGGATTTCTATTGAGTAGCCAAAATTACAGCAATCTGAACAGCGATGCTCATGAACTTTAAGATAGGGCAATTTTCTGTACCTTGATTATCGTTAAATATATTGAGAGCTGGAGCAATTTCTGTAGCTTTCCATAGACGTATAGTGCCGTCTGCTGAACAGGACAGCAAACGCTGGTGTGCTCCACTGTAAACCAGACCCCATACTGCATCTGTATGGCCTACAAAAGCACCTCTTAGAACAGAAGGATCTGTGAACAAAACACAACAATTTCAAAACAAAATTTAAACTGAGTCAATAGTTCTATCTTGTCCATCCATAAAAAAACCCAAGACCAATCAGGTCATATCAATATAGAAGTCTCAATGATTCTTGTAGGAAAATGCTTGAATTTCATCAGCGTATGTGGCATTCAATTACCCAGTTTACAACTAATGGAAAAAAAACAAAGTTTCAGCAGAAGGGACAGTATCAAAGGTAGCAAAATGCATTTTCATTTTGAAATTCACTCTCAAATAGCCGTTAATGGCACATCAGTTCCTTTTTTCCAAAAGCCAGCTCTGAGGCCAACTGCATTTGAAGCTATGAGAAGTGAAAAATGTTATAAAACACACACCCAACGCTGACATCCATTCAGATCTGGTAAATCTTACTGAACAGGCCACCTTAGCTGTTTGCAGACATCAACAGCTTTGGTCTCAGACTATATAACCTCTTTTTATCTCAACTGCACAAAGATTTGTTGATGAGGAGGACATGAAAATACACATTTACTGTACTTGCCAAGCATCAGGTTTAGTCCTGCACTTTTTCAACCTAGATGTTTCACAAAACTGTTAAGAGATCAAGGCCTTTTTTAAGAAAATGACAAATGTTATCTTCTCATCAACCAGCATCAGTATTAAAACAAAAATGTACTTAAAGTAACTGAAACCAACGTTCAGTTTTCCCTTTTAAATTTTCAAAGAAGCATTACCTACAAATTAGACTGTTTTAGCCACATAACACTGATGTCACTAAATGTGACATCACTGGTGTGTGTGACAGCAACGTACCGTAAGAGTCATAGGGGTCGATGTTCGGGTTGGTTGTATTCCAGCCGTGGATGAGGCCATCCGTTCCCCCACTGTAACACTGTTCACCATTACTGCTCATCACCACACAGAGCACTGGTCCACTGGAAGACCCCCCCCAAAAAAACCCATTGACTATTAATGTTTTACATTATGTGAAAACCAATATCAACGGAATCTTCAAATTTCCCTGTTAGATACAATTCACTTGCTGCGCAGACTGCAACAAAAATTCTGCATAGTCAGATCATATGCTATAACACTTCCCACAAAAAAAACCCCACAATATTTGGTAATAACTGCAATCAGGACAATTTAATCATTATGCACATGAAATATGAAAAGCATCACACTTTTAAACTAGCTTTGTTATTTTGCATAAACAGCTTTTTCCCCTTTTTTTAAGGTCTAAGGCTCTTTCATGAAACCAGTTCAGTAATTTTAATTCACTGCAAACAGCTTCATCCTACAGATGCACATATTTGACAAAAAGGCAAGAGCTGTGATGATGAACAGAACACCTAATCGAATTTGAACTGTATAATTTGTAGATTTTTCTTTTTAAAACTGTGGTGTACCTAGCTCAAGACATAAATAATTTTGCAGAAAGGAGATAAACATATGTAGATATTTTAAATAACATGGAACTAAACGCATCACATGAAATCACTAGCTGACAAGGTAGAAATTACTTTTTAAAAAAGTTCTGTGTCTGCTTAAAAATCATATGTTTCTCAAAATATGACAATGTTTCTCAGGAAATACTCACTTATGTGCTCTGAAGGTATATATTGGCTCTACATCAAGAGAAGCACTCCTAAATGAAGTATAAAAATATGTTAACATGTATATGATTTTACACAATGCTTTACAAAAATGTGTCAGAATTGCTAAATTCTTAAAATCACCACTATGTCTTTTGAAGTATTTCTACCACAACGTCCTCTCCCAACATGATTTTTCATATGTCTAGGAATGCTTTGCATTCTTTCAAAACATGATCGGATCTATTTGTTTAGTTTGATTTCAGTTTTTTGCTTAAAGACCTTCAAGGTAGAGAGTCCACAAACTCTCACACACCAATCAAACCAGTAGGTAGGTACACCAATGGTGGGGAAGGAGTGGAGGGCCATCACATGGAATATATCATTAAGTGTTTCCAATCCCTATCAGGGGAAAGGAGCTTATGGCACCTTGTTTTTATACCAATGTTGTAGCACGGTTGCAAACCACTTCAAAAACTGTTTCTCTGAACTTTACCCATCAGGTGCTTGTTACAGACTGCAGGAAGGCCACATGCTTTGCCCAGTCCTCCTAAAAGGTATGATGTACTCCCTTACTATATCAGCCCCCTAATAATTTGCTCTTATTTCTGCAAATCCCCAGCAACATGCAACAGACTGTGTACAAACAAACCTAGCAACATCTCCACCAAAGTTTAAAGCTGTACATGTGTAAATGTATATATGTGTATACATACATGCATATATATATAAAAATGCATTTTAATACATTTATATACATATGCAAGCACACTAACAGGCCACATCCAAATATTTTCACTAGTAAATTAATTTCCCATGTTATCTACAAGGAAAATATAAAAAAGTTAATGGTTTTCATTTTCACAAACAAAACACATTAATGAACACACATGGATTTCCTCTGTCACTCTTTAGAAGTCTCCATCCTTTTCTAAGAGCTTGTTTTCCTACTCTTAAATTCAAGGAACAATTTCCATTAACTCCAAGGGCCATCCAGGGAAGCAGCAGCTACAATTTTTGTCTTTCTTTCATAGATGAAAATATTTTTTGAAACAAAGCAAAAAAAAAAGTCTTACTTTTTTGCTGGGGCTGTTTTTTGTAAATTCCACATTTTTAATGTATGGTCCTCTGAAGCTGTTATTAAGACTGGTTCAACCGGATGAAAAGCGAGACCTCTTATTCCATCAAAGTGACTTCTTAATGTGAATTTGGGGTTCCAAGTCTTTCTCAATGCATCCTTATTGTTTGCTATCTAATAAAAAAAATAAAAGCCAAACTTTTAATTAATCTGATAGGCACAAAGAAAGGAAGAAATCAAAAATTTAGTTTGGCATTTTCAGAATATGTCAAATTACCTCACCCACTTTTCATAACAACCTGCACTTGAGCAACAGTCCATTTAACACTGATCAGACAATTCAAAATGAGAATGAAGGCAAACGTATTCCACAAAGGCAACAAGTAATGTTGTGTCCACAGTAACACGTTCTGTGTAAATCTGAAATACTTCATGTCTGTTCAGCTATGCAATTTGAAAGCTGGTAAGTACCTTTCTGACTGACACTGCTGTGAACTCAGTTTGGCATTTGAAAGTTGATCTATACCTACAGGCTCATTCATTAACACTGGGCCTGACTCAGCCAAGCTGTGGTCCCCGAATATCCAAAGTACCACTGACATGGCGTCTCTGACAAAGATCTAAGAGAAACAGAGAGTGTCTAGCAGCACAGGAAGGAAGGCTAACTTACTCACCTACGGCAACACGAGCTCTGTAATAATGCAAAACAAATAAAACTTGGGGGGGGGGGGGGGGGAAAACGCAAAAAGGACTTGGCTACACACCAAGAATATAACTGGCAAGCAATTATTTGGCAATAAATGCATTTTTAGCAGATCCAAAAAGAAACCCTTAAAAAAAATAAGTTACTTCAATTCCAACTTGGTATTCTATGATTCTATGAACATTGCTCCTCTGAACAAATGTTGATGTAAAATGCTGAACACTTTTATCACTCTATCAATCAACACTGTCACAGTTAAATTTACCTCCCCATAATCACTGCTGATGGTGGTTATGGAAAAATCAGGAAAACAAACAATTTAACTCAGATATTGATGATTTCATTACGTTGAAAGCTACAGATAAACCCAAATAATTTAGTCTCATTGATTGCAAAGAAGAGACAACTGTTCTGAGCCACTTCAAGAATCTACATTTTCTTCTGGAATGGGACGGGGTATTTAAGAACAAAAGTGCTTTTTCTTAAGTTTTGTTACTTCTGGATTTAGTAATAGAAAATATGCTTCAGTTAAGACGTCCTATAGATTTTTAAACAACAAGAAAGGAGTTGTAACAAACAGCAAGTTTAGTCTCATCATATTTCTCAGTAATTATATACTGTCTGCTTAGGGAGACAGCTCAGTTTCTTTGCCAGTTTACTGAGCTGAGTTGGCTCAAGAAGGAAACAGACAAACGCCGGAGCTGGTGCAAGGATGGTGCAGGACTGCAAAGTTAGCAGCTCTAGCAGATTTTCTGGAGATTGACCAAGTAAGTCTCAGCAAAAAGGGTACAAGACATACAGTGTATTCACAGATATCTGGAGAGGAATTTGATTGCCTCAACACAGACATGTAATGCCGATTAGGTGATGGAGGGAGCCCTGCCTGCCCTCCAGCTGTCATACCAGCAGCACAGGTCCTGGGTCACATCTGCAAAAGCCACACAGACTCCTCAGATGGCCTAAGAGTGCATGCCAGTTCTGGCAGGATAATATTCTCCATTTGCTTCTCATTCATTCAAAGATGTTCTTCCAAATGAGTCCAAGATGATTAGCTTATAAATTGGGAAGTGGACAGAGGGCAGTCCCAGCCAGCAGACCAGTGGCAGAGGTGGAAACAGATCCCAGCCCTGACACACCACCTGTCTGGCTGCACCACCACCACTCCTCTTCACTCACCAGTTTCTCACAAGCTGCGAGAGGCTGGGTTACTAACACTGCAGCCAGCCTCCTTTTCTCTCTCCCCACTGAAATACAACAGTGAGGTAATCTGAGACTTGAAAAGCAGCTGAGGGGGTGTGAGGGTGTGTTTTTGACCCCAAACTGGATTCACTAGTAATAGTAATATCTGTGTCTACACAGACAGCTTGAAAACTCCAGAAACAGCAATGATATGCAAGTTGGATTATGGACACTTCTCTTGTTCAAAGTTGCAGGAAATCAAGCAAGAGCCTACTGCAAAGTCTAAAACCTCCAAGTCAGTACACAATATTAAATGTAATGATTTTGTAGTTTAGATACTCTTATGTACAGCACTGAGTCTATTATAATTTTATGAAGCTTCTTAATCTACCCAGATTAGGGAAAAAACACAGAACCAAAAATGAACATTTGTTAAGACAACAATATGTTGTTGCAAAAAGAAAAGATAAACTTATGAGAGTATCGGCGAGTAACCTGGGACATTTTATCTTGTTAGATATTCTACAAACTTACCCACAAAAGGACACTTTTCTTTTTTTAAGTAATGAATCCATAATCTCCATTACCAAGTGAAAACCATACTTTAATTTACAGACAGCCAAAGCAACATGTAAAAAACTTAAATCGTGAGATGAGGTAGGCTAATGCTACCATGTTTTAGAAGAAAAGAATACAGTAGAAGTGTCAGTGGGGAAAAAGGGACTGAAAATAGGGAGTTGTCTACAACTCTGGAGAGCAAATACATTTAAACACCAATTCACATGAAATCTTCCAACTTCATTCTCCATATGATCCAAAACTGATGCTTAAAAAAAGTATTAAGTTCCCACAATCCTACCTGATTGGCATTTGGCAGATAGAAGAAGGTATCAAGTAGTCCAAAACAAAGCCAGACTATATTATTTGTAAGTTAAACTTCCAGTGAGCTTTGAAATGGAAAAACTAGCTTTTCATTTTGCTTCAGTAAAGAGCACAGTGACAAGAGCAAGCAGCTTGGTAAACTTTTTTTTTTTTTTAATTGTCAGCACTAGAAAAGATAAGAGGTGAGGAAAGCATGACTATGAATTCCTGATCACAGGGCTTCATAAAGGCATTTAACAAATGAACAAAGACAAGTTAATAGTCTCAACCACAGAGAAAATGATAGGGGCGGCATAAAGAAATGCTAGACTCCATAATTGAAAGCTGTTAGTTCAGGATATGGAGACATGGACAAATACTTGAGTTTATCTGGACACTTGAACAATGAAGTCAAACAGTGAAAGCATTAAGCTCTTGTACAGATGGCTTAGGTTTGTCATGTCCTCTGAATTTAAAAATTCAGCATCGAAGTTTTAGGTGTAACTGTAAAAGAAATAAAATTTGTACACCATCTTACCCCCTTGTGGGGACAAAGTTAGGGAAGACTAGCAAAAAAGAGCTGAGCCCAGATCAGAAGATAATGCTAAAATACTGAATTCTACATCATTGCAATCCTGATGATTCACAACACACCACAAGCTTAGAAACTTGCTATAGTAGTAGAGCACATCTCTGCAGTGTCACGCTCAAAATATGTGTAAACTTCTGTTAACTATGTAATTGTATTGCTTTCCAATTACATAGAAGGGTTTCTATGTAAGGGTTTCTAAGCAAGGACCTGCAGGTTATTTCTGAAGTCTCAGATTTGATTTGCGATTGTAAAATCCCAAATGGTGATTACTTAAGAGTCAGATTTACTGAAGGGTATGATTCCTCCCCAACATGCAATACTAAAAAAATCACCTCTGAAATCCCTCAACCTTGACAGAGCTGGACAAGGCCATAGCAAGATCAATCTGAAGTTGACAGATCACAAAGGAGCAGATGATTAAAGTAATACCTGAAGTATCTTTTTCCAAGAAATCAGAAATACAGTCAAAAATTGCATATGACTGCCAAGAAGCAATTTTAAGAAGATTTTTCATAAAAAGTGAAAGAAAAAGAAGCGATAGGCTACACACATAGCCACAGCAGTACTGGCCACAAAAGCCTCCTAAAAAGTCTCTGGTCTAACTTCCCATTTGAAATGAGACTATTGCCCAAACCACGTAAAGTAAGCCACAGCTCTCCCCCAGCCAAGTCTTGAAAATCTCCCAGGAGAGGGATTACACAGTTTCTGTGGGTAACTTGCTTTAGTACCACCTCCTATGTAACATTTTTTCCCCTAACGTCCAACCTGAACCTCCCAAGCCATAATTTGCTACTCTTTTCTCTTGTTTTAACACCTGCCACTGTGGAGAAGCTTGGATCTGTCATCCTTGTAAGCATCCTTCCAATACCTGTAGACTGCTATTCGAGTACCCCTTCGCCTCTTAACAACTGAACAAGACTAGGTTCCGCAACAGCTCCTCATCAATCACACATTACTGGACTCTCTATGTTTCTCCACAACCCTCTTGAAGTTGGCCAAAATTACATGGCCTCACCCCGTGCACAGGGGACATTAACTTCCCTGCTGACCGTGCTACTCCTAATTTTGCTCAGCGTCACCAGGGTTACAAGTATCCAGCTGTATCACTATCACTAATTACATTTACTTTCAACTATTTGAATGACATGGCAGGCTTGCTGTGTATGGGAAGAACAGATATGTCACAAAAATTTGTGACATCCTTTGGCAGCATAATTTTAACAGGAACCTGTTTTCTGCTGAGTCTACACACATGTAACTTGTGTCTGCCTTCTGCAAGTATACAGCAGGACCTTGAGTTACCATTAATAACCACTTACATCATAAGTCAGTGAATCTGCCTCGTTGGCTACTGTAAGGCCTGCCAGTTCTCCAAGACCCAGCTCACTTTCAAGGGCTTCATCTGTTCCCATAATGAAAGATTTCCCTGAAGAAGGAGGAAATGTTAAAGCTTCCACTGCAAGAAAACAAAACAGAACAAAAAAATCCTGAAGCATGGCTTTATACAACATTGATTAATAAAAACTTATTTTCTACTTCCAAAATACTGAATATCTCTCAAGTAGCTGAGGACAAGAAGATACAAAAGGATGCATAAAACCCCCCAACCATCCTAAAGATAGTCACTGTATTTAACAACAAACGTTATCCTCTAAATATAATACTTACACTTGAGGTGTGCATGACTCAAGACAGTAAATGTAATTAGCCACAGGAGGGAAGAGTACACTACCACTCACCCATACATAATGCAAAAGTAACACAGAAAAGCTCAGGCCCTTCCCCAGCTCCACTATAAAATATGAAAATAGGCTCTGGGGAAGTAGCAAAATTGTAGACAAGAATAGTTGGTGGAAGCAGCTGGACTCTTCCTTCCTAACACTGTATCCACACACATCCAAAAGCATGTCTACAACAAAGCTGTTTACATGCACTCCAATCTAGCAATACGACTGGAAACTGAGAATTCATCACTACTTGTAAAATCAGTTTAACTACCAAACAGGTTAGTCAGCACTGAATTCCAGGGTTTTACTAGCAGTATCCAAACTTACTAGTTTACAGCTGCTATAGCATGCTTACAGGGAGCTCCAGTCACTGTAACATAAACACATCCATAGGCAGATTCATTAGAAACCGGAGGATCAAAGGCTAAGAGGAATACAGTTCACACACTTACACCACATAAGGCTCTGGATCAAGTGGTACTACTCAAAAGAAGCTGTGCCTTTACCAGCTTCCCTGTATAATGGCTCTCCAAGTCTATACATCATGAAAGGAGGACTGAATAGACAAAAATGTGTTATCTTCTGGACACAAGAGACTTCACTCAATTTTATACACCTTTTGTCTCAAATTACAAGGGTCTTTCAGTTAATTATATTTCTTCCCCTTTTAGCTCCATTGTAAGGAGAAGCCTTGGCAAATACTGTTGCTACCAGAGAGAGAGAAAAGGAAACACCATCTCATTCTCAGCACCAACACTAAGTTAAACCCAAGCAAACTATGTTTTACAATGAATAGCCTGATCTGTTCAGGCTGCTTCCTTCTTGTCCCAAAGGCATCCTGTTCAGATGCTGTCCAATTCCCTTCCAGTCCACCCAGCGTAAAGTAAGCTGATCTTTCCGTGGTCTTTCTGTTCCACACTCATACCTCTATTGAGTCTCCTGTTTGCTTTCTACTACTTTTTAAAACCAGAGAAAAGCTGTTGAAGCTCTACCGTTTGATTAGGTCTCTTAGTTATTACCTTTTAAACACAAACATCTCTTACCTTCTGCATCCTGAAGTCTAAACTACCATTCTCTTTTTCCCTCTTTTGAATTTACGGTGTAATATTCCACTCAACACACAATACATACAGGACATAAAATTTGAAGAGTTACTTCAATAAAAACATCATATGCCAAAAATATCATGGAGTCTCAGATTTATAATACAATACACAGCTAATAGTTTGTAATACTGAACTCAGACTGAAAACAATCAGCTGTCTTCCAGCTTTGTGAGAGTCCATCTGAGTCTCTGAATTAAAAGACACATTCTTGAAGGGACGTGAAAATAGAGCTCTGCTCCTATGGCTCTGAGTACATGTGAGAAAAGTTGGAAAGGAAACATTCAACAAAAAATTCCTCCACTTCTCGAAGTGTTGCTAAGTTACCCCTTTCTTCATTAAAAAAAAAAAAAAAAAGAAAAATCACTGAGCATGTAGGAAATAGAACTACTGAGATCTTTGGTAACTATGCCACACGCCGGGGCTTTTTATGCATCTTAATTATAACTTGGCCGACCTACTTTTTCACACTCACTGAAAGACTGCTAAGTGAAACCCCTATTTTGCTCATTTTTCAAAAGACATATTTACCATTTAAATAAAGAGCACATGATCTGATCTTCTACAAAGTAATATAGCCTCATATATTTATTTTATTATGATGCATATCATAGCAATTCCAATGTTGAATCAAATAGATGATTTAGCAACTTTCAGACATAATACTAATGAAGGTAACCACATGCCTCATTGCAAAGATGCATGGCTTTCCGTACTTGGACTAACCGCTATGAGAATTTTTTTTTTTTTTAATTTTTGGAACACATTATGGAAATTAATACACTGGCAAACTGTAAGTTGTTCTGTATGATTCACTACACAATCACCACATGCATTTAAAAGCTATACCTAGCCACTTGTGTTTACCTGAAGAGCCTCTATCTTTGCATTTAAAAAAAGAACACGGGGAGGTGGGGCGTGGGTGTACATACATTTAAAATTATGTTCATGGGGAGAAAAACAGATGCTTTTATGTCCTGAGAGTTTGTTCCACACTTGACTGCCAGGCCTGAGCACAAACAAAAGCAAGTGACTTAAGATCCTCGTATTACAAAGCCACCAAGTGCCAAATGATTTTTTTCCATCCTGTTCAAAGGTATTCAGCCAAGCCTTTACCTAGGCAGGTAAAGTCTTGACTTTAGTAATAGTGACCAGAGGGGAGGAATGGGAATGCCCTTTATCACACTTAGGCAGAACTCAATCATGAATCAGTTTTTGTAAAGTACTTGGAAAGTCTTAGCGGATGGTCTTTAAGCTGTAAACTATAAACTATAATCATCTACACTTTACAAAGGCATATGTTCATTTTTAATACTTACCTTCATCTGTCCTGTTTATCTCGTGCTCAATGAGCCTTGAGCTACTGGGCCTAGAAGAAGGTGCAACAGATGGCTGTAATGAAGGGAGATCATCAACATCTCGCAAGTTTGCAAGCATATCTTGCAGCTTTGACCTGTTGGGCCCTAACCAGAAAAAAAAAAAAAAAAAAAATTAAACGGTTTATGCATAGTTCACAACAGCACTACTTACATCAGATATGCTACAGCAGCACATGCAACAATGGATCCTACCTCGCATTATAGCGTTACCACAGAAAAACTAATGAGCACCTATTTTCAGCAGTAACTAATCATCCAGCATGAAATGAATTTCTTGAAAAGAAAGTGATAGAAGCAACTGAGAACTGTGAATGCACAATTTTCCCCACATTTATAAACTCATACTGCTACTTGAATGGGATGCTGAAGAATGCCTCCAACTGAGTCACACTGATTATTAGAATATTTACTTTTTCAAAACAATAGCTGACATTTGTGAATATCTTAAAATTTGTGCATCAGGTACTTTGTGCAGCATATTCTTATGACAACATGATTATTTTAAATTTATTTGTGCAGTAGTGTAGTATTGTGAACTATATAATCCCCAAAGTTATATTAAAATATAAATGCAACTGGATTCACTGGCCTACTTCCTGAAGCTACGTATGGTGAAGACCCATGCCCTTCTTGACACTTACCTGTGCTTTGCTCCATCATTTTCCCACATCCCTGTTTTGACTGTTTTATATAGGATTGAGGCTGAAACATATCTTCGGTAGTTTTTCCTGTTGTAAGTTTAATTAAGAATGGGAAAATGTCTTACCCATAGTCCATTATGTTTTTTTCCTAGACCAGTAAATAATACAGCTATTTTTAAGCAGCTTTAACACAGAAGTGTACTCTAATATATGTATTCTCTCATAAAACCATTCTATGATTCTATTCTCTTATTACTTCACAGGAGTGTATACTACAGCCTTGCAAAATCGTAAGTTTACTAATGCAGTTGTAAACTCTGCTTTGTCCACCCTAACCATAATGACAGATAATAAACTAAATTGCATTTAACTTGTCTGTCACAAAAACATTACTTGATTCAGGAAAACACTAAGTAGGATTTTGCAAGATTGTTTTACTATAATATCTGATTTATAAAAACAATTTTACTTACTAGCAGTTCAGTGTCTAAGCACCATTTATGATGAGATTAAAGTCATAGAAACAAACTACGTACAATTTAATGTCAAGGTATTTAGTCCCTTCTTCCCTAGACTTCCCTCCTCACATTCTTCTTCGCTACGTGCAATATCATGAATAGCTGACAACAGGCTGTGATTCTTCCTAATCTTTCTGCACTCATGCCCTTCCAATGATGGTTTGTCCATGGAAAGATGCTTAATTTCTGTACTGCAGTAAACCATTTGGTCTCCCAAGATCAAACCAATCAAGTCAACCCAAAAGGTACTGTAAATGTACTGAGCAGTAGTTATCTTCATGAAGGAGCACTGGATGACCAAGTGCTGCCTTACATCAGGAATTTTTCTCATAAATATATAAAACAGGTTCAAATAATATATCTATGTCTACATTAACAATTAGATACTAAGTTTTATTATAAAAAATAAAAAGCACCCAACAGCTTTTCAAGAATTATTCAGAAGTTTGATTAAACAGTTTCTGCTAAGTTAACCCTACAACTATTGACCCTGAACTACATAGCACGTCTGTGTAATTTTTAAAATAACAGACAAGTTACAAAAAGTGATTTCACTGAAGTCATACATTGGTGTGCCCTGTCTATCTTAACTATAGAGAAATTTAGAATCAATTTTGTGAAACATGAACACTTTAGTTTGCGAGCTTAGCTTCTTGCCAGACTCGCAATTAATTTTGAGTAACTTAAATGATTCCAAAGATGACAAAAATATCACTTGAGAAATTTAAAGTATGGCAATGACTTACTACTTTTTCATAAAAAACCCAAAAAAAGGGGTTTAGTTTGTATATTTGATAGCATAAGTTCAGCAACATAACCAACTGCTGAGCAGTGTCTTATCACAGTATCGATACAAAAAGTAACAAAACAAGTCAGCCTCAATGATGCAAGGATCTGACACCTTTTAGATCATCATGCATCTCTCTTTGGAAGTGTGAATTTCCTTGGTATTCATAAGCATCTTCCCACAAAGGGAGAAACATCCCTCCAATTTCTTACTGGGCTACATGCAATATTATTAATTTACATCATTCACACATGAATTCTCAATATGCCTAGATGTTTGAAATATAGCTGTGAATACAGTGTTTTATTTTAAACACTTCATCTGAGTTCAAAAAGTTAAAGCTTACTTATAAAAAACATTGATTTTGATTTTACAAAACAGATTTGTATTTCAAGAAATGTTAACAAAAAATATAATACAGGGCTAGAAACTGTATTTTAGATACTGATCACAGTTTTTTGTTTGGGTAACAATACCCAAGAATTTTAAAGGCTAGTCCCACAGGTATGAAAGTCAATAAACAAATCCTGTGATTTACAAATAAACTGATAGAGTTGCTTCCTATTTCGAGCCCTGCATAACAAATTATGATGACAGCATGACTTTCATGTTGTGAATGTTAAGTATAAACAGGGGTAGAAATTAACCTGTTTTCTCCCTCTGTCATCTAATAGGATTCTCAAGAGTTTCTGGTTTGTGGGGTTTTTTTTATTTACATACCAGACTTTAACTCTTCCTCTGAAACTGGCATGTTTCCAGCTAAGAAAGGGTTCTGAAGTCTTCTATATTGAAGTGTGAACTATTAAACCAATGCCTTTTACAATTTAAGTTTCTGAATAACCAAAGCATAATCCATGCTCAAAGCAAGAATTTTTAATTAATCCAACACCTGGTTGGAAGAAGTTATATCTAATGCAGCTATTTAACAAGTAACTTGATTGACTGTCATTAATTTCAACCCCTGAGAACTGGTGAACAGGAAAGCAGTCAGGAGCAGCAAAGTAAAAGAGTAAGTAATTTTAGGAAAACATTGAAAGAAAGATAGAATTAAGGGTGTGAAAGATGTAGGATTTATGATTTTAAGGTGCAATGTTTTCCACTTACTCTTAACCCCCTTTTTCCCCTTGCGCTCCTTTTTGTATTGTTCCTTGAGTTTGGTTATTACTCCCTGGTCGACATTCCAAGCTTCAGGCATGAGACACTGGTCTTCCTTTTCTAAACAAAGTGAAACAAATGAAACATCCTTTTTCAATAATGTCACCAAGTCATCTCCACTGAAGGAGGTAACAGCTGCTGTCAATGGCATTTGTCTTTTATTTTAAACAGACAGAAATAGCACCAAGCTTGTGAAAGCTGTAAAACTGCTACTCACATTCAACTTCTATTTGCTCAGAATTTTCTTAAAAATTGAGATGAAATTTCACATGCCTAATTTCTGTAACCAAGCACATAGCTGTTCATAAATGTAAGCAACATTTACTTTAAAATAAATCAGGACATATTTTTAATCTTTTCTTTCCTCCACGGAAGAAATTATTATATCTAGAAGCAGCAGCTATGTTACTGGTCAGCATAACTTTACAGCTCAGATGTTGCATCACCACATTTCAAATTCTCATTTCATTATCTTTGTGCTATGCTGTCATTTACACAAAGCACCAGCACACGTTTAAATCATTTTGGAACACACTATACATGTCACCAAGGCTTGAATAAAATCTTAAAGCACTAAAGCCATGAAATTTCACAAAAAGGGGAAGTCTGAGTTATTAGTCTGAAAAATACACAAAACATTTCAACATGCCTAACAAAAAAAAAAATCCCCACTTTTTTTTTAAAAAAAAAAACAACACCCCACACCTCTCTCAAATTGCTTCCCCTGTGATACAGAGAAGTAGTGTTCTTCCAGTGGTATAGTATTTGGAGATTTTGAACAAGATGTGTTATGTGAGTTCAAATCCCCAAGTTATTTTTTTCATATACTGAAAGACTGTACTGAGGCAGCGTAGAAAAATAACTTGTGAGAGCAGCAAGGCAATACAGCTTTTCCTCATATATATTTTCATGACCATTACAGCTACAGCATTTTTTGAAATGCATTATCTTTTTGCTTTGTTTTCCTCATTAAAAATCTCAACCTTATTATTTAAAAATTCCTTCCAAACCAAGTTTGCTTTGTATATCAAATTCTAGACCTCTTAAAATACAAACAATAACAAACTTATCCTCAGACTAATATGCAGAAAGGGTATTAAATATCTGTAGAGGAAGCACAACACTATCAATCACAGCCTGAAAGAGTCACTATGATTGGACAGAAGATGCAAAACCAGGCATGGGTTATTATGAGGACCAACCTGTTAGAAATTAACTATGCTGAAAAAGACCTAGGGATCCTTCATCAGCATCAAGTTGAACAGGAGTCAGCAGCATACTCTTGCAGCCAAGGCAATCGATCGCATCCTGGGCTGTATTAACAAGAAGGGAGCCAGTAGGGTGAGGGAATTGATTATTCCCCTCTGTTTGGCACTTGTGAGTCCACACCTTAAGTACTGCATCCAGTATAATATTTCTTATACTGGGAAACTTTGTAAGTATATATATTTGCTAAGTAACTAGTATTGACACAGTATAACAAGTCCAGGGGAGCCACTAAGATCATTAAGGCAAACTGGAGCAGATGAGCTACAAGGAGGGGCTGAGACTACTGTGAGTGTTCACCGATGACAAGAGAGGCATCCTAGTGCTGCTTACAACTACCTCATGGGGAGGCATGGAGAAGACACTGCTCAGACTTGCATCACAGAAGGACAAAATACTTCTCACCATGAGGACAGTCAAATACCAGAATACTGTCCCTGAGAGTTTATGGGAACTCCTTTCTTGGAAGATATTCAACACTTTACCAGAAGGAGACCAGAGTAACCTGCCACAAATAGACCTGAGCAGGAGGTTGGATTAGATGACCTCTCACTGCTTTGAACCCCTAGTCATGATCCTATACTCATGAGTGACAGATTAATTCAAGACCCAAAGTCTTGAGGCATTAGTCTTTTTGCAGCAGCTATGACAATAGAGAGGTATTAATAAGCTAAAGAGAGAAAACATGGTCTGTGGGTTAAGTCATGTCCTCTTAATACATATACCCAATTAAGTACCACTAATGATCAAGAATTGCACGAAGAACTCAAAAAAGGGATGAGAAAATCATGCTTGAGAGAAACAAGTATGTATTCTCTCTGGGACCAGGTTATAAGTTTTAATCATGCTTTTCCTCCCTGGCTAGACAAGATTTTTTTGCTCTCCTCCAACAAAAAGTTTAAATGGATTTATTTACAAATAAATTTAGAAATACAATGGATTGTATTTTGCCAGGAAAATACTTAATACATTAATTTTCTACAGACTGTCCCAGGATGTTTCCTGCATGCCCCACAGGTTCTAATCAACTTCACAAGTGGATCCTGAACCACTACTGTGCAAGGGCTTTACAGTTTAAAAATTACCTGAACACCTCCGAGGACCTTTCAAGCCAAACAGGTTCAAAAATTACTGTAACTGATCCAACTGATGCTTGGGATCCAAAATGAAGCAAGGACTTCCTCTGTTTGCTTCTATCCTCCCTACAGAACATCAGTCTTGTACGCTACATTTAACAGTTTCACTTCAATCAAATCAACATACGTGATTCATAATGGCAGTTCCTTGAAGAAGCTTGTTCTTATATACAGTTACCATAAGAGGCACAGGTTGTAAAACAAATAACTGAAAAACTTCAATATATAACTCAAAAAACCCCCTTAATAGTTCTAGAAATGAAACTACTACTTTCCATGACAATTTATTTTTAATATTAGACTTTTGCTCATTTCTAGTCAGCTGTCATCAATGAAAGTAAAAATAAACTAGAACTGTGAATTTGAAAATAAAAAAGTTCCTATTGTCATACTAACTTTTTGGTGACACAAGCAATAGCTACACTTATCAAGCATAAATGGATAAAATTTTTTAATATTAAAAGAGAAGTATCAGAACAACATAATAAAAACTTTTTTTGTAAAAAAGGGTAACATTCCTAAATTTGTTTGGTGAACAGAATACTGACTGCTGTATCTAATGATACTCAGACACATCCTCTCAAGCAGAGAGACTACACCACACTGAACAATAATTTGGCATCCAGCCAGGAGTTGGACATGGCTTCAGTGAAATACAGCATCATGGAGCCATTAGCTCACGTGAGAGCCACAGCTACCCATGGCTTATTTGTCTGTCAAGGTTTCAGTTCTATTATAAAGCTCAATTATTCCCCATTCATCTTCCATAGCTCCCTCTGTGTCCACTTATGCTTAAGACTTTCCAGAGCAGCTTAAGGAGGAAACAACTCCTCATCAAGTTATTTAACCAGTTCTCTTCCTTTTTCCCTTCCCTATGCAGTGGGTTTATGTGGAGTAGTTATGTCAAGGCACAGTGGATGCTGGCATTCTAGGTTGCAGGAAATGTACCTCAAAAGACAGAGAACAGTTTGTGAAATGTCTCTCTGACTAGGGGACTTAGAGATATAGTCTTCTGATTAATTTAAAAAGAATTTGAACTGAATAGTTCACATTGCCCAAATTGCTAACAAACAATAAGAGTGCAACTAATTCAGTCTTTGTGACTCACATTACTCTCTGTATTGAAGTGGTAGAAAACAAAGAAGATTAAATAATCATGTCATAACTGTAAAATACAGCTTTACCAGAGCCCTTCATTAGCATGGGTCACTGGAAAAACACACTGAAATTCCACTCATAAAATTCAAATTCTATCTGCCTTATTATTGAGGAAAAAGAAAAAGACAATGACGAGAAGCATAAACCTTGAACAATACTTACATTAAAGCAGTATACAGAATAATAAGAATATTATGTCAAGAGGACTTCAGTCTGCCAATTATTTACTGTAGGAATACTCAAAAGGTGCAGTGATCATGACAGAGATCTCAGTCTCACAATCACTCACAATATATTCTTAACACAATTTTTTTTTCCTGGTACAATCCATTACATTTCCTTACCCCAGTCTGTTCCATCTCCTGAACTTCTCGATTCCCCATCACCTTCATCTGAGGTAACCAAAAAGTCAAACTCTTTCAAAGCTTCTTCTGTATCTCTGTCTTCACTGCTGTCAGATAGCACTCTCTTCCTTACAATCTGAAAGGTCAGGAAAGAGACAAAAAAAGCTGAATTAAGGTACATGCACACCTTTATACCGAGCAGTTCTGTCTTGTCTTCTATGCAAAATCCTAACAGGAAGTTGAAGAAGCAGAAAAGTATACATTAACAGGATAATCTGGAATAAGCATACAGACTTTGTTCAAATTCTAAGTCAAAATGAAATTTGTCTGTAGATCACTTGATAATGAATCTACACTGACCTAGACCACTACTACCAGAAAACTTTTTCTTGGTGCAGATTAAAAAACCCACACAAACACTGCAAACAACAGAATAGAATGCTGTAGAAAGGACTTCAGCAAAACCAAACTCACTTTGCTTCTCTGAAAATAGCCTTTTTAACTCTCACCTCTGAAATCACTCTACATGCACACTAAAAGACAACTCTAGAAAAAAGCCAAAAACCACAAATGACAAGAGCTAATTTGCTTCAATTTGGCAAAAATCATTCCATACTGAATACTTCCTCAGATACTACTGTAATTTAAACATGGTAATTCCATGTTTAAACTGCATTTCCCTTTCAAATTCAAAGGCAAATCTGGTAAAAGACAAAAATTACCAAATTTTGGTACATGTTTTAATTAAGGACCGCATCGTATGCTTTCTGCAATAAATGTACTTTTCCCTCAATAATCAAAATGGACTAGATGCTTTACAGTTATTTGACTAACAGGTGAGCTGATGCCATGATACATGAAAACTGTAGCATAAATTTTATTTGTACAGAAAAAGAAAAATTACATTCATCACAACATTTTGACCTGGAACCTTGCTAAGGGTCAGGTTTGAAAAGATTTCATTACATAGGGCAACATCCAATAATGCATGAGGATGAATGACTGTTTCCTCTAAATACAATGAACCAACTTCAAAACCTGAATCAATTCTAAACTTCAAGCTTCATTCCTTCAGCAGGCTCATTGAACATACTGTATTAGAGATGATTTTACAGAAGAGTCTCAGACATTAGTTCACAGCCCATGGAAGACAGGAATAAGTTTACAAAGATCCTCTTTAAAAACTCTTTCAAACTGATGGGGTTTTATTCATTCTTAAAACTGATCATAGAAACAATCACATCCATCATAACTCTTAACTGCTTCAATTGTTAGGAAACACAGCTCATTGAATAAATATCAATTTTGAAAAGAAGAGGATAAATTTGAGTACTGGTTGTATGTATCCATTTCATGTGATCATAGGACCAAATCATATAGCAAAGTATAGATCATGAATGAGTTTCAGGTATTCAACTGAATAAACAAAAAAAGTTTATTAACCCCATGTTAAGAGTTTTTCCAGTTATACTTTTTCTTCCTTCCACAAGCTATTTAAAGAGAAATGTGGTATTTCAGTTCCATACCCTACAAAGATAAATTTCTACAAGTCATTTTAAATATCAATATATTTATATAAATATTCAAAACAACAATGCATTTTTGACATGCAACTTTACAAACAATACCTTCAAACTAAGCTGAAAATTGTAAAAAAAGGACATCTGCCACCTTAAAAATTTTGTCTAATATATAAAAAAATACTAGGCAATATGGAATAGTAGAAAGACAATTTAAAAAATGTTAATCTGTCACGGCGAACTTAAAGCAATAAAGATGGCAAAGCCTAACTTGTATGCACAAACTCAGAAATGCATATATAATTCCTCTTATGCACACATGCTTGGACAGGCCATCATAAAGATGTATTAATGATTTGCACGTGTACATACACAGTCATATACTTTGCATATAGGCATCTCATTAATCTCACTTTTTCTGTTCTTCGTAACTTTTTCAATTATTTTTTCCACTCACTGTTGCGGTATCAATGATTGTTTTCTCTCTTCCTTCATTATCTTCTTCATCTTCTTCATCACTAAAGTCTGCAGCTGCATTTTCAAGAAACTTGAAGGTCTCTAGCAGAGAGGCAGAGTCAGTCAATTCAGGTTTCCTAAACAACAACAACAACCACAATCATGAGTCAAAAGAAATCATAACAAAGCCACTTCTGCAATTGCCAGTCTGTTCTGTATTACGACGTCCAACAACACATGAGACTAAAATAAGTCTACAGGTAAAAAAGTTTGTGGATTAAAAAACTAAACACTATCCATAAACTATCTTATTAGAACTAACAATTATTCTTCATCCAGCTACAATTACTGGGACAGACACTTCCACTTTTTATTTGAAAAGCGTTTTAAAGCAACATTCATCTGATATGGGCCAAAAGCACCATCAATACTGATATAACATCACTGAAAGCCTCAGCAGCAAGGACATGAGTTACAGCTACTAAGTTGGCCTCCCACATGTACGTCAGGGTACGGGAAAACTTTGCTGCTGTCTGATGTTCCTCACCTTGCTGGGAAACATCAAAGTCTAGATCTAACATTCATTAACTTGTGAGGCATGGTAAATTTGCCACTACAAAACAATATAATGGGAGAATCTCATTGATGGCTAAGGTTTGTGTAGACATTAACATTAAACAAATAAGGAAACAGGTGAAGATTGGGTAAAATTATGACTGCACTGGCACAACTTCAGGCAGTGCCTCAGAACAGGAAACATAAGGGTTGTCATATTAACAAATGAAGAGGAAGAACCCAAGAAGCAGGACTGCAACCATTATTAAAACTCTGATGAAAGTACAGTTAAAGCAATCCTAAAATTAACAACAGGTACCATGTTTCCTATGCAGAAGACATACTTCTCCATCAATCCCTCAAAGATAAAGTGGTGAAAAAAAAGATTCTCTTTGCGTTGTAATGATTACTTCCAGTAAAACCTTGTACATTCTTTATATGACTTTACAGTAGTAAAGACAAACTGTATTGTTTTCTTACCTTTAATCAGTAGTCTGTTTTTCATAGTTCATCACTAAATGCACGTCATCTTGATTTTCACAACCACTGAAACAATAGAAGTCTCTCTCTCTTTTCAGAGTTGTAGCTCTAAAATGCCTGGTACCCCTGCTACCAGCAAGTGCCTTTGCTAATGCTATGTTTTGCTTCTGCTATGTCCCATTTCAAAAGGTTCAATCAACTAACAAGCCTATACAGTAAGCCCTTTTAAACTCCCTGTGGTGTAAACACGTTTATCTGTCCATCGCCCACTTAATCCAGTGTTTCTTCATAACGCTTTTCAAAAGTTTATTACAGGAAACATCCAAGGGCAAAAGCTCCGATGTGTAATCAGGCATGATAAGCAGCACACTTCCTTCTTTACGCAGGCCCTGCTCAAGCAGTTCTACGCTTACATGACAACAATCAGCAGGAGTGGGTTCTTCGTAGTCCCAACACATCTGCACTTCATTACGACAATTTGCTATTCTACCCTTTTTTCATTTACTCATCTTTACAGCCCAAAGATACCAATAATGATTTGACTAGCCATTAGAAATTCCACATAGAATCATAGAATCATAGAATCATAGAATGTTTTGGGTTGGAGGGGACCACTAGAGGTCATCGAGTCCAACCCCCCTGCAGTCAGCAGGGACACCGCCAACTAGATCAGGTTGCTCAGAGCCCCATCCAACCTGGCCTTGAATGTTTCCAGGGATGGGGCCTCCACTACCTCTCTGGGCAACCTGTTCCAGTGGTTTACCACCCTCATTGTAAAGAATTTTTTCCTTATATCTAGCCTAAACCTACCCCGATTTAGTTTAAAACCATTACCCCTTGTCCTAACGCAGCTGGCCCTACTAAAAAGGTTTTCCCCCTCTTTCCTATAGGCCCCCTTTAGGTACTGAAAGGCCGCAATCAGGTCTCCCCGCAGCCTTCTTTTCTCTAGACTGAACAAGCCCAACTCTCTCAGCCTGTCCTCATAGGAGAGGTGCTCCAGCCCTCGGATCATTTTAGTAGCCCTCTTCTGGACCCGCTCCAACACTTCCATGTCCTTCTTGTGCTGAGGGCTCCAGAGCTGGACGCAGTACTCCAGGTGAACACATCCACAGCACCATAATATACCATGATGTACAGTATGTTTTCATGGTCACTGGTTTTATGGAGAATATTCCTTCCACTTTCCCCATATCTCATCTTAGATATCTAAGGACAATCTCAAACATGCTTCCAATTTGCCTTGCTTCTAGCGCTATTTTGACCCTCTTGTTTCTATGACAAACCTGAAAGCACTCTAATATTTTTCTTTTTCCTTAAGTAATCACTGCTTTGGCAAACTATACCACCTCAGGAATCTGTAGTAATAATGTACATTTTCACAGAAATTCTACGGCTATTTTACTGTTATATTACTGTTTATATTACTGTTATTTTGCTGTTTCCAACACACAACTCTTGATAAGACAAAACTTGTGATGTGCTTCACTTGACTAACTTCTTGATTTTCAGCAAATTTTATGTGTCCTGGTCAAATTTTAGTGGACTAAATCAGCCACCTACAACTGTATTTCTGTTTTTTCCTCTATATTTTGTCATAGAAAAATCTGCCATGTAAAAACATCATGGCTGCTGATCTATATTAGCAAGTATCAGAAATACTACAGTAAATAGCAACGTATGAACTAATACCAAACATAGAATATCAAACTTTAATCAGCAGAACTTGTTATGAAGAGACAGATACCCTTCTGCAAGTACAAGTATTTGCAGTAATTCATACCTAGATTTGGCTCTGTACTCATTTGATCTTAAATCAGGCTCTTTCACACTGAAGTTCAAAGTGACCACCAAAAGAGAAGGTTATATCTTTTTTAAGTAACTGTTCTGGATTCAACTATCATTAACTATTACATACTTTAGTGGGCAGATATATACATAATTGTATATCTCCATTTACACGGTGGGGTAAGAGGCATTTCATGCATTGGAAAACAGAGTAGTTTATCACGTATTTCAAAACTCCTGCGCATTACAAAAATGTACAAAGTCAGCATAGTACCACAGAAGATTATTTGTGCTAAGGCACAACTTCCAAGAAAGAATTCATAAGAACCAAAAAAAGAAAACAGAACTGACAGAATATTTAAGCTATTTAAAGGTTCTTCAGGGAAAAGAAGCTTTAAGCTGACAGACAGGTTGGTTGGCTATACTGTACCCCAATACATTTTAGCAGTCAAATCAGAAGTAACTCAATAATTTAGCTATTTTTCTAATTCAGCTATTTTTCATCCTTTAGCAGCACATAAACATAATACATTTTAGATATTACTGTCAGCACAAACACTTAGGAACACTGTAAAATATACTTAAGAAAATGTCTAGCCTCAGCTGATTTATGTTATGTACTTTGATGGCAATTCAAAACTTGTTTGTTTCATTATTTTCCATCTGTTTAGTTTGTTTCTCTTATGGGGTCCATACCCAGAGCAATAAAAAAAGCAGAAGTGGCAAAAATATATTCAGAGATAGGATAGTATAATAAATTACTTTAAATTCCATTTTAGAAAAAGAAACACAACTCATTATTTCCAGGGCTTTTGTAGTCTAAAATACTTTTTCGAAAATTAATGGGCAAAAGCAATAGAATGGAGCTCCAAAGGCAGGGACTGATACATAAACTGGAGTATTACAGGCCTGAGCGAGGCAAGACTATGGCAACATCCAGGACCAGTTGCAAATAAAGGGATACCAAAAAAAAGAAAAAAATCAAAAAGGTCTCAAAACCAACAATTCCTCTTTACTGGGCTGTCCTGGATCTAAATATTATGTAAGGGAGAACGTCATTTTCAAAGTGCAAGAACTTAGGTGTTGCTTTTTCCTTCTTCCCCAGCCATACTGTTTAAAGAAAAACTGCTGGGGAAGAATAAGCCAGAAACCCCAGCCAGCAGGAACAGCTACAGAAGCTGCCAAAACAGAGAGCATAGAGCAACCAGATTTTGGCAGGACTTCCTCGATCCCGTGCTCCTCAGCTGCTTGTTCTGAATCTCTTTCCCACTGCTCCTTCCTCAACGTACTCTGCAACAGCACCCTTGCAATGGTCATCTCCCCTAACCTTGCCTTCTTTCCTTGAGGGTTTCGTCCCAGTTGACTTACCACTTCCTAACCAAATCTAAAAAAAAAAAAAACCCTATCATTTAACCAATATAACGTCTTCTACCAGATACTGTTAACTCTGTGCATTACATTCTCCTCTCCAGTAGCCTTATCCAATTAGACAGGAAAGTCTTTGGGGCAGACAGACTACCTGCTACTCCTGTCTGCACATGATGAGGTACAACACTAACTGCTTGTCACAAGCATAACAAGTATAATAAGTAGTGCCAGAAAGTAAAGTATAGCTACACTAATGCTGCTAGGTTTTCCATCTTACTACTAGCAGATAGGTAGCGCGCAGATTTTGTGAATATTGCTCTTGACGCAGGGAACTTCTGATCCCCAAAGATAAGAAACTTTTTCCTGTTTAAAACACAAAATTCTTGTTACAAATGGGCTGGTAACTGAAGTACTTACCTCCCTTAAAGCAACATAAACCTGAAATCACATGAGTATTTTTCTCCTTGGGAAAAGTTGCCAGAATTTTCTGCAGCTGTGAGTGCCCTGAAAATCCCATCCCAACTTGTATTTTACAGGCTGTACAATTATGCAGATTTGTCTTAAACCCTTGGCCTCTTTAAGACTAAAAATAGTAATAAACTCTTCCCATGAAATCTAAGAAATATGATTCGTGGATATTCCACATGTACTATTTAAAGCAAGCATGGCTCTCACTGGGCCTCTGCGGGCCATACAGCCAAGTCTTCATTTTCTGCCCTACAGTCACATGGCTCAAGACGTGTATTTTGTGTAAAAATCCAGTTGGCCCTGACATCGAAATATTAGCAGCTTTACAAAACGTATAGTGTTCAATTGGCTCTCAACATTTAATATTCAGGATCTTAACACAAGCCCTGCTTCTTACTGAGTGAAAAGTAGAAACCATAACCTATAGGAAATGTGAAGTTGTTACGCAAAAACTAAAACAGCGCACTGATGATACCTTTCC